CTTTATATTAGTTTTATCTTATTTTTACTATTTTCATTATTCTGTATACTCCCCTAGCTCGCGCTTCTTGATTCAATCAACCAGACTAGCCTCTACCACTACACAATGTCGTGCATTCTTGGTATCCAGGTTAAGGAAAACAGGGGCTCTAACACAATTCCTCAACTTAACGTTACTTTATACTTTATGGGCGAGTCATACCACGCCGTAGCTGTTGGTATCAATGCCTTTTCCAATGCATTAATACGCTATCAGGTATGCGTCATGAGTTGAATTATTTTTTTTTAGCTGGCCTCGTAATATCACACTGTATCTTTGGAAATGATTAATTTCAGCCTTTTTAAATATCTCTTATTCCAACAATTCCACTTTGTTGACGCTTTACAATTAGCAACCTATTAGGATTGCTCCTAATTTGCTTTATCTTACATTTTTCAGAAGACATTTCTCTTTATGAGCATGGTTTTATAACCTATTAAAAATCTCCGATGGCGTCAAAACATGTATCTTGAGCGGCACAATGCCTTCTTTATAAAAGATTTTTCATAATAACGTTGATTCAAGAAAGTATAAATATTGTATTTTCAATTCTGGAGTGTATTTTTGCGTTGTATTTTGAGGGATATTGACTGCTTTATAAAAATGTTCAGCCCACAGCCAATTTACTAGTGTGATCCATTTTCCTTGGATTTGCCGACTATAAACTCTCTTGTCAGCATGTAATCATCAGCAAATTATCTATTACCATCACATTATCAGGATTTTTGATGTGCTGATCAGAGATCCCCGTCTTTTCCAGCATCATCAATTCAAATGTGACCGTAGTTACATCTAAATATGGTATAGGCAAAGACCAGAGTTTTATGCTTAAAGCAAATTTCGAAATAGCTGCGATATGATAAGACTAGGCAAGCCGAATTTTGCTTTACAAAACACATAATGGAGACAGGCCATCAGGCCCAACTTAAGTGTTCATACACAGAATACAGAAGGCCCATGCTTCCTCCTTTTATGGCAGTGGAGAGTGTAGGCAAAAAACGACGCGAGTGTGGTCTGTACTTTCACTAGGTGCTGCAATTCTTTTGGGTGATTCCAAAAGTGCCATGGTTCTAATAGAGAAAAGGGCTGTGTTAGATTATGTCATTATGCATCCTCTGTCTTGCAGTATATTTTTACCAAGCGGATTGTGAGAAAATTATGCCAATTCATCCATAAAATTCCGTACTTACCTCATTTTTACAATGCACAATTTGGGTTAACCCTTTTCTTCAATTTTTTAATGACTAGTTTACATTTACATTGTTTTCTCTACTGCCTGAAGTGAGTTTGAGAAGTAACTCGTAGATTAGCCCCTCCAGAACAAGATTCGCGATGATCCCTGGGTTGATATTTATTCAACTGACTTGTCGCTTAAAACATTTCCATCCTTGACCCGCTCACTTCTAAGACAGCTTAGTCTGTGTTGAACTTTTGTTATATGCTAGGTATATTCAAGGCGAAACTTGTTAAGATATGGGACTAAGAAGTTGGAGCCTCTATGTTTTGGTCGCAGTCTTCTTACACTGTATTAAAGTGGTCTGACCTCTTTTTAACAACGAGGTGGTATTGTCCGCAGGATTTGGTTGAATACATCTTGTCCGAAGCCCTTTGCTGTGGTAGTTATGATAATTCCCACTGCTGGGCTGTTTACTTGGTACATTTCCAGACGTTTCGCCGGTATTTTTAATGAGTCTTGCCATTCAAGACTCAAGCTTGTTGAAGAGAAAAGAGTGGCAAAACTCACTGACGAGCTGGCGAAACGCCTTGGAATACACTAAGTCCACGGTCCAATGCTAAGAATTATCGTTACTATAGAAGAAAACAAGATACATCCAACTAGAACGCCCTGACAATACAACCAAATTGCGAAACTTAGTAAGCCTATTTTAGCGCATCGTCAACTTCTAAGGGCTAGCTTTACTCTTCTCTGACCTGCTCAAGACAGCATATAGAAAATAATGTTTTGAAAAAAGAAGCTGCAAAGAGCAAGACGTGGTCCAGAGACAGATTAGGTCCTTATAAGTTTGTTAAGAGCTCGTGAAGGGAGTAAAAGTAACGTTGTCTTGGAGCATTGACATATGGCGAAGGAAGCTGAGTGGAGAATCGACACGATAGCGAAGCTCGGAAAAACGGTGATATTACGAAGATTTGACCTGGTTTTAGGTTTAGCGGCGAGGCCTAGTTGATCTGATGGTAGGTTCAGCTACGAGTTATGATACATTGGCTGAACGACGCTCAGTGTGCACAAGCTAAGACTGAGCATGGAAACTGAGGCTGTGTGAGGCACGGGCATTCTGTGTGGGGGAGGCGAAATATGGCGCGAAAGACGTACTGCATTAGGTGTTACCTCCATTCTTAA